CCTCGGTGCCCCGTATCTCATTAAAAAAAAAAAAAAAAAAACTCAATTCATATACTATTTTTTAAAATCTTAGAAAATGTCACACTTACCTTCTTTTCTTTTGCTCTGTTTAATTTCAGGAATCTGACCCTTAAGCTTTCTTTTCTTTTGTGCCAGGTTGAGTTCCATAAACTTATACTTCTGATATTGTTCATCCAGCTTCTTTAGTACTATATCTGCAGTCTCATTCCCAGGCTGTTTCATGAAGGAATCTACATCTTCCTTTAACATCAAAAATAATACATTACAAATTTTAGAATTCATATTACTAATCTAAATCTGACAGCTTTGTTTTCTAAACATAAAAGAAAAAAGCTATTTAATTTTCTCCAAAGGTTTGTTTATAACTGAAGAAACAGTTATAAGGGCTGGAAGGTGGCATGGTATAAGGTACTGGACTCTCACATGGAACGACCACAGTTCAAGTTCTGGACCTGGCGGCTTGCTATCTCACTTTCACTCTCCCTCCCTCTCTCTTTCTCTGGTAAAATTAAAAATAATAATAATAATAACAATAAATAAATCTTTAAAAAAAACAGTTATAAAAAGTTAGAGACCATTTCAGACAGTGCACATACATTATCTGGCTAACTTATTCTTTTTTTTATTTTTAACAAAGAATCATGTTTCTTTGTTTTTTGGAGAAGTTTTTGCTATAGGGTGCATGCACTCGCCACAAAGACAGAGACAGAGAGACAGAAAGTAAGAAATCCCCCCCCAGGGGGGATGGCCACACCACAATCCCTTCTCCTCCATTCTCCTCTTGGGATCTTGGGCACACACACACACACACACCCGGTGTGAGGTTAAGCCACCGGGTCTGGGATTTGAACTGCAGTCAACTACATGAGAGTCCAGCAACATAGCCATTACACCAACTGCTGGTCCCATGGCTAACTTATTCTTCTTTCATCTTTCTCTTAATTTTTATTTATAAATAGGGAACGAAGAATGACTTCGTCCGACTTGCAACCCTAGTAGTAAAAAAGAAATTTACCAACACACACATGACTTATTCATGTAACCTAGTCACAAAACAATTCAATAGAGTTGTGTGCCAAAATGATCTATTTTATTACTTATTTTTAATTTGACAAGTTCCAACATAGAAATCATGCTAAATATCATTAGGTACCCAACACAAGCCATGAATGCTTTAAGTAGCAAGTGGTTGAAATAAAGTAAGCCTAAAAAGCAAACAAGAACAATCTTTTGTTAACAGGATTAGCAAAAGAAAAACAGATATACTGTTGGGTCTAATCAAACTCAAGATCTATTTTAGGGAGCAGCACAAGAATATGCACAGATCTTGAGAACAAGTATATGATCTGAAAGATAAAATTTTACTGACTGGACCATTTAAATACCCTCTTAATTGTTTTCTACTAAATATATGACATATAAAAACCTTTATTAAAAACTTCTTTATCAAAAAAAAAATCAGGCTCCTACTGGGTGAAAACAAGGAAATTTGGAGGAGATTCTACAAGAGCTTTCTAGTACTGTACAGAACTTTAGTTCTTCATTATAAGTAACTTCAATTATCTTACAGTTTCTGTGACCAGCGTATCTATAATAATGACTCTTATCCATGCTTACTAGCATGAAATATTTTAGTTGAAACAGAGCAGGAAGAAAGAGGAAAAGAAATACAGCAAGGGAGTGAACTATGAAGCCACTAAGCTAGCATGCAGTAAAAGGAATTGAAAAACAGGCTGAGAATCAAGGGCTGAGTGCTACATGTAAAATGGAGATACAATCTTCCTAGCAGAGTCACTGAAGGTAAGAGAAATAATGCTAAGTTTCTAGCACCTGGTACATGTTATTAGGTGCAAGAGTCTAACAAGGAGAATTAACTATAACAGCATAGGATGTGGTTAAGAAAAAGGGGCTGTGGGACCAGCAGTTAGCGTAATTATGTTGCTGGACTCCCACGTAGTCGACCGTGGTTCGAGTCCCGGACCCGGTGGCTTAAACTCACACCGGGCACGTGTGCGTGCATGCCTAAGATCCCAAGAGGAGAATGGAGGAGAAAGGATTGCGGCGTGGCCATCCCCCCTGGGGGGTGATTTCTCGCTTTCTGTCTCTCTGTCTGTCTGGGGAGTGCACGTGCCCTATAGCAAAAACCTCTCCAAAAAAAGAAAAGAAAAAGGGGCTGACAGGTTTGAATCTTGGCTTCACCACTTACTAGACATGTTGATATGAGAGAAGTTATTTAACCTCTCTTTGCTCCAGTTTTCTTATTTGTAAAATGAAATAAAAGTATCTTTTCCTCACAGGGATGTAAATGAGTTAGCATGTGTAAAATGCTCACAAGAGTACATGACACCTAGTAAGTGCTCAGCAAACACTTGCTGTGCCCAAACAATGCTCTGTGGGGATACAAAGTGCCAAGAACTTTGTTTTGGGATGGAAGTCAGGGAAAACTACAGAAAGAACTACATGTTTGAAAAGTGAAAAGGTTATCAGATGGATTAAGGTAGAAGGGACAATTCAAGCAAAGAGAGAAAACAAATTACTGCATCAGCAGAGTTTGGGAAAGGGCCGGATCTGACTTCTAACCACCATGGTATACTGTCTCCTAGCATCACTAAAATTAATACCGACTCACATTAAATATCTACTATATTTGCAATACTGAAAACACATTCTCTGTTTCTCCTAACAACTCTGTAAGTAGTGTCATCTCTATTTCAGCTAAAGAAACTGAGGCTCAAAGTGGTAAAATAATATGCTCAAGGGCAAGTGGCAATTGGGAGGCAGAGGCAAGATGCAAACTCTGGTCTATTTAGAAATCAGTGTTCTTTCTACAATACTATGTTACTCTCACTGGTTTAGGAACATAAAAACAATTACACAGAATAAGGGTTGCTTATTACATCACGCTGGTAGAAATCTCAAAGTCTTAAAAAAAAAAAAAAACATAAAATCTTAGAGGAAAATAAAAGCACTTTAAGACTTTAAAAAGCCCTCAGAGGGACCAGCAGTTAGCATAATGGCTATGTCGCTGGACTCCCAAGTAGCCGACTGTGGTTCGAGTCCCAGACCAGGTGGCTTAAACTCACGCTGGGCGCGTGTGCGTGCGTACCCAAGATCCCGAGAGGAGAATGGAGAAGGGATTGTGGCGTGGCCATCCCCCCTGGGGGGTGATTTCTCGCTTTCTGTCTCTATGTCTGGCGAGCGCACGCGCCCTATAGCAAAAACCTCTCCAAAAAAAAAAAGCCCTCGGAGGCCCAGTATGGTAGCCAGCACTAGACACTTCTGACTGGCAGGTTGACACTACACCAGAGGCCTAGCCTAAAAAGCTGGGCCTGGTATCACAGCCTGAGGCTCAGGCAGGAAGGCTGTAAGAAAGTGAGACCCTGCACAAACACCTCCCCCACACACACACAAACACGAATACACACCCTCATATAAAGCTTATCCTTCTGAAGGTATCTCTAGCTGAACATTATGAATGTAGTATTTAGGGCACTGTGGCAATTCCATCAGACAGCTCATTTTGAGTTTACACTGTGTCAGGCAGTGGTAGGATAGCAGAAATGGTAAGAGAACTACCTCATTTTACTCCCAATAGCAGAGTATGCAGAGTGGATAAATGCTTTTAGAACCCTAAAGATTGCCCACATCCAAATCCTGGATACCTAACTTACATCCTATAAGATCTAGAGCAAATCACTCAAGGGCTCTGTGCCTGAGTTTCATCATCTACAAAACGGGAACAGTAATTACCTGCTAGAGACTTTTAGAATTATTAAGTGCCCAACACTTAATCAATTACATTTCTTGATACAGTTAGTTGGGGGGTAAATGTAAAGAAATAAAAGGCATGGCTCATGGAGAAAACAAAATAAGGAAAATAATTAGAAAATTCAATCAGCAAATGTGAACAGAATATAAAGTGTGGTCTAAAAAAAGGATTGCTTCTTCTGGAGGGGGTAAGATATGATTAGCAAAAAGGTTACAGTCCAGCAATATAGGTACAAACCAAAAGGTCCAGAATATTCCATCAATATTTTATAGTAGTTCAGTACAACTAAACGGGGTAAGATGGATGATGCTGTGCTGAAAAGCCAGTCAGAGGTTTTTCTCTCATTCAAATTGTTTTCAAATACTATTTCTAGAATAGCGTGATATAAGGATGGGGTTGATAGTTTCTTTGTTTGGACTTGGACTGCTTTCCCTGTTCTCTGTGAAGCCTCCACATTGCGTTCCCTGCCCTCCTTGTTCAGCTGCTCTCTACTAGGTTTTAGAATGATGTATCCCAAACCAAATACCATTTCATCGTAGCTTTGCCCCTTCTAACGACAGCTCTTTGCCCACTGGAAAAGTCTCAAGTCCTGAGAAAGACACAGAGGAACTTACCACTTTACCCCTATATCCCCACTTTCCCATCTCTTTTTTTCTTCCATCCCTCGGAGGCAACAAACCACAGCGTCCTTTCAACAGACGAGGTGTCGCTTCCAATTTCGTACCTTAGCTCTGCTGCTGTCTTCTCACTGTATATTCTAAGTGTCCAGCTCCCTGTCTCTCCAGCATCTCAGCGCCTCGCCCTTTCCAGGCAGCTGGGGACTAAGAAACAGGCGGCAGCGGGGCCTTCCCTAAAACCGCCCCGCCCCCGCCTCAACCCTCCGACCAGCGACCGTCTCTTCTAGGCTCTTCTGGGCCGCGTTTCTCTCAGAGGACCTCCGAGGGCTCAGTCCGTCCCGGCGCGGGGAGAGTTGGCCCGAACCTCCCTTCACCTTTAGCTCAGCTCCTTCCCCAAAAGTCCAGGCCAGGATGGGGCCAGGAAAGAAGAACAGTCGGCGACCTCGGGTCAAGACGCCGGGGAAAGGCGTGTCTCTTACCACAAACACGGCCTCGGGAATCCCCAGGTGCAGCCGCCGCCCGTTCCCTGTGGCCACTTGTCCAGTGCCACAACCCTCCTTAGCCGTCGCCATCTTGGGAAAGCGAGCGCGCGACTAACCGACTCCCGAGCCGCCAGACACGAGGGGCTCCTGATTGGCTGGTTTTCGCCTGTAAGCCCGCCCCTCCCTTGTGAATCTGTACATTTATTGGCGTGTGCAGGAGGAGCTGCCCATTTTTGCCTTTGGCCGAAATCTCTAGGTGCCGATTGGTTGTGCTGATGAGTGACAAGTATGAAAGGGCCACGAAGCAGTTTCTAGAGCTGCGCGAAGGACCAATAGGGGCTCCTGGGAAAAGGGGATTTGGGACAACTTCTCCCAAACAGGTAGCATCCTCTAGTGGCCATATTGCCCGAGATCAGAAAGTTGTCACCCTAGCTCCAACGTGTTCAAAACTTCACTCTACACACAAAATCCTAAGAATTCTGTCTAGGTTCGTAGGCCACCGGACTCCCCTGAGTACGTTCTCCACTACAAAAAGCAAGTGTGTTATGTAGACTCTAAATATCCTTTATCCTGTTTTCTAACATCTAACCACCAATTTGTCTTCCACTTGCACAAATTCTATCATGCCCTAAGAAGCCATACAGTGGAAAGTAAGTCTTCTTATAGGCAACCACTGTTTCCATTTTGTCTCCCTAGATAAAGTACAATCGAGTACATAGACATAGACAGATAAACCTTTCTTTATATATAAAAGGAGAAAAGTGTTGTCCTCATGTTGTGAATGTGGAAACTAAAACTCAGTGAACCTGTACAGTAGTTCCAAAATCCTACAGCTAGATGTCAGTGAAGCTGACAATCTCTGTTCAAGCCAAGTACATGACAACTCTATATTTCACCGCGCGCTCTCATCTACACCTTACAGAAATCAAAAAAGAAAAACAGGTAAATTTTCTTTCTTTTTAAAAATTTGCCAGTGAGTGCATTGCCAGAGAAAGAGAGAGAGAATGTACCTCCTCCCATGGGCCATGGCCAAGCCTCAGTCTCTTCTCTGTTTCTCCATTCTGTCAGAGTTTGTGACACGCATATGCAGACACCTAGCTCAAGCTGTTGCCCTGGACATCCAATTCCTGCTTTTGCCTCTGGGGCATCCAGCTGCGTTAATCATCAGGTCACTGGGCTTGTCCTAAATGCAGTCATTTTCTTACCTCCCAGTTTAAGAAAGAAAAAAAAAAAAAGAATTTCCTCCTGCCAGTTCCAGATCTAGCTATTATCTGAACTGAAACTTGATTGTTCTTTAGTAACTCTTCTGTAGCTCATATCTTTTACAGTTTATCTTTAGATTGTTTTAGTAAAACCATGTTTAACAATCTGTTAAAAGATGTTGTAGCTTTCATGATGGTTACTTTAAAACAAAACAAAAACTTAAGGGAAATACCCATACATCAGAAACAACAGCAATTTTAAAAAGTACCATTTTAAATTTCACATAGTATATATAATTTTAAGTTCAAAAATCTTAAATGGTTTTTCCCAGCATGAATACAGTGCAAAGGTATTACCACATATTGGGGCATCAGAAAAGGCATGATGCATTTTTGCATAAAAAAAAATATGGCATGACTTTTTTTTGACAAACCAATACATTATCATCAACAGGTAACTTTTCATTTTTGTGTCTATTAAGTATTATTTGTTTGATTGATTGTTTTTTCCCAATCCCCACGGTCTCACCCTTATCACCCACCCCCTATTATCCATGCCCTCCTAGACTGTCTCTAGCATCTACAGTTATCCTCCCTACTATTATACCTTCCAATTTTTCAGTTTTTGCTATAAAGGGCAGATATTCAGTATACATTAAGTCATTATATTAAGACATACAATACCTTTCATAATCTGGCTTGCTTCATGTAGCATTAAATCTTCCGTATTTGTCCACTTTCTATCAAATGCCAGGGTCTTTTTTTTTTTGTGGCTGAATAGTATTCTGTAATGTATATGTGCCACACTTTTTCAATCCATTCATCTGTTCATGGACATTTGGGTTGGTTCCATGTCTTAGCTATTGTGAATAATGCTGCAATAAACATAAGTGTGCAAGTGTTTTTCCTACTGAGTGCTTTCCTATCCTTTGGGTAGGTACCCAGGAGTGCAATTGCTGGATCATATGGTAGTTCTATTTGTAGGTCTTTGAGGAATCTCCATATTGTTTTGCACAGTGGCTGTACTAATTTATATTCCCACCAACAGTGTAGGAGAGTTCCCTTTTTTTCCACAGCCTGGCCAGCACTTATCATTATTTATATTTATATTTTAATCTTAGCCATTGTGACTGGGGTTAGGTGGTATCTCACCGTGGTTTGATTTGCATCTCCCTTATGATAGGACGTTCAGCATTTTTTCATATGCTTTTTGACCATTCGTATGTCTTCCGTAGAGAGTTGTCTGTTCAGCTCATTTGTCCATCTTTTATTTGGGTTGCTTTTTTTTTTTTTTTTTCAGGTAAACTGTTTGAGTTTCCCTTATATTCTGGTTATCAGCTGCTTATCTGAGGCATAGCTTACAAATATATTCTCCCATTCTGAGGGTTGTCAATTCACTCTAATTATTGTTTCTTTTGCTATGCAGAAGTTTTTTAACCTGAAGTCCTTGCTGAGGCAATCAGACAAGAGACTAAAATAAAAGGCATTCAAATAGAAAAAGAAGAAGTGAAATTATCTCTACTTACAGATGATATGATTATGTCATAGAAAATGCAAAAGATTTTTAAAAAACCTGCTGAATGTGACAAATGAATACAGTAAAGTGTCAGGATAAAAAATCAACTTACAGGGGACCAGCAGTTAGCGTAATGGCTGTGTCGCTGGACTCCCACGTAGTCAACCGTGGTTTGAGTCCCGAACCCAGTGGCTTAAAACTCACACCGGGCGTGCGTGCGTGCGTGCCCAAGATCCCGAGAGGAGAATGGAGGAGAAGGGATTGTGGCGTGACCATCCCCCCGGGAGGTGATTTCTCACTTTCTGTCTCTGTCTCTCTCTGTCTGGCGAGCACACGCACCCTATAGCGAAAACCTTTCCAAAAAAAAAAATCAACTTACAAAGATCTACAGCATTTCTACGGGAACCAGCAGTTAGCATAATGGCTATGTCGCTGGATTCCCATGTAGTCGACCGCGGTTCGCGTCCCGGACCTGGTGGCTTAGAACTCACACTGGGCGCGTGTGCATGCGTGCCCAAGATCCCGAGAGGAGAATGGAGGAGAAGGGATTGCGGCATGACCATCCCCCCTGGGGGGGTGATTTCTTGCTTTCTGTCTCTATGTCTCTCTCTGTCTGGTGAGCGCACACGCCCTATAGCAAAACCTCTCAAAAAAAAAAAAAAGAAAAAAAAAAAGATCTACAGCATTTCTATACACCACCAACAAGCAGACTGAGGTAGAATTGAAGGAAGTGATCCCATTTATAATAACCACAGTAAACATAAGGCACCTAGGAATAAACCTAACCAAAGACATCAAAGACCTCTGTAAGGAAAACTATGAAAACCAAATAAAGGAAATTGAAAATGACACCAAAAAAGTGGAAAAATATCCCATGTTCTTGAACTGGGAGAATTCATATTATCAAAATATCAATTCGAGTGGGGCTGGCAGGTGGTGTGGTGGTTAGGAGTGTTAGATTCCCTCATGACCAGCCACAGTTCAAGTCCAGAAACCCTGGTGGTTGGCTCTCTCTTTCTCTCTCCCTCTCTCTCTCTATCTCTCTCTCTCTCTCTCTCTCTCTCTCATCAAATTAAAAAATAAAAATAAATAAATAAAATTAAAATAAAATAATTCTAAAAAAAAAGTCAATTCTATCCACCAGTAGTTTTACAGTTTGAGATTTTATGTTTATATCTTTGGTCCATTTTGAGTTGATTTTTGTTAATGATGAGAGATAGTGGTCCAGTTTCACATTTTTGCGGGTGGATTTCTAGTACTTCAGTACCATTTGTTGAAGAGATTTTCTTTTCCCCACAGGATTGTCTTGTGCCCTTTGTTAAAGAAAACTTGACTGTATGTTTTGGGGTTTATTCCTGAGTTCTTTTCTCTGCTCCATTGGTCTGCCTGTCTGTTTTAGTGCCAATACCATACTGTGTTTATTATCATGGCTTTATAATATATTGAGGTCAGAAAGTGAGATGCCTCCTACTTTATTTTTTTTGCACAATATTGCTTTGACAATATGTTGCCTTTATTCAGTCCAGACAAATTTTATGATTGTTTTCTCTACTTCCATGAGGAATGTCTCTGGTAGTTTGAACAGGATTGCATTGAATTTGTAGACTAATTTCAGTAAGATTGACAATTTTTAATTACATTAATTCTTCCAATCCAGGAACATGGTATCTCTTTATACCTTTTCGTATCATTTTTAAAGCTTTTCATAGTTTTCCTTGGAGAAGTCTTTCACTTCTTTACTTAGGTTTATTCCTAGATATCTTTTGTGTGGGGGGGTATAGCTATTGTAAATGAGATTGCTTTCTTCAATTCTACCTGTTTGTCATTGTTGGTGTATAAAAATGATATCGAATTTTGTATGGTTCTTTTCTTTTCTTTTCTTTTCTTTTCTTTTCTTCTTTTCTTTTCTCTTCTTTCTTTCTTTCTTTTTTCTTTTTTTGGTGTGTGTGTGTGTGTATGTGTGTATTCTTTTGGATTTTCTATGTATATAATCATATCATCTGCAAATTGAGGTAATTTCACTTCTTTTCTTTTTTCTTATTTCAGTACCTTTTATTTTACTCTCTTGTTTGATTGCATTGGTTAGGACTGCCAGTACTAAGTTGAAAAGGGGTGGAGAAAGTGGACAGCCTTGTCCTGTTTCTTTTTTAGTGTGATATTAGCTATGGGTTTGTCATAGAGAGTTTTTATTGTGTTGAAGAATGTCTCTTCCATGCCAAGAGTGTTAATCACGAAGAAGTGTTGTATTTTATCAAATACTTTTTCTGCATCAATTGATATTATCATATGATTTTTATCTTTCCTTCTGTTAATGTTGTTCATTACATTTATTGTTTTACATATGTTAAACAACCCTTGCATTCCTGGAATAAAGCCTACCTAGTCATCATATATACTCTTTGTAATGT